GAGCAGTCGGACAGACGGATGGACGGGCAAGACGGGCATTGCACAAAACCAATATACTCATTTTACTTTCGTGAATGAGTATATATGTGTATTCCTGCCAAGGCAAACGTTATCGTTTGAAATCGTTATTGCAGTTCATTTGCAAAATTGCATATCGCCTTATGAGCTAGTCTAAAAATGTTACATTTAGTTTCATGCATACGATATTCTGGATGCCATGCTTCATACTAGTCCGTTGCAAATATGGACAATATAAAGAAAATTGACAAACGTGGCAGCAGCGCTATTTTTTATACGTATGTGTCGGTTATTAGATTAGATAATTTTGACGAGTGCAGCGTGTCCCTGCACGGCTGCCATTCTTCTTGCTACTTTAATTTTGTTCTTTCTAAGTAAACAGTAACAGAAAAGAAGTTTTCGATTTACAACTAATTGCTCGATCATTGAAATGCCGGGGTTGATGGAGGTACATTCTTTAATAATTCAGTTCGTTCTGTTGGACATCGTTTCTTATACCCTGAACTCATTGTAAATGCGAAATCAGGATATAATGGCTTTGTGAAAAATTATGTAGCGGGCAGAAGGAATCATTGCAGACCCCACAAAGTATATATATTCTTGATCAGCACGACGAGCTGAATCAATATAGCCCCGCCGTCCGTATGAGTGCGTCGATCACAGTAGTTATAAGAGCTAGAGAGCAGGGTATCTCCTACTAGAGCCTTCTTATTTGTTTAATAATAAATGTTATGTATTTGGAAAGGTGTAAGGTGCGGCTTCCCCGACTATAATTTTCTTACTTGTTTCATGGGAAGAAATTTTACAAAACTTTACTTTCCTTTCATAAAAGTAGGTGTTTATAGGGAAGAAGTGTTCTTGTATGCCCGAATAGTCAATGCTGAGACGTCAGGGCTAATAGTTTTTGCAATGTTTGCTTCTATAATTACGCAGAATTTTTCAGCTATTCAAGCTGGAGACTTCCACGTCTTTTTGCTTTTTGGCTTACTTCAATTATTTTATTCAAATATTTTTTGAAAACAATAATGAAAAATAATATCAGCGAACATAGTAGGCAAATGCTAAATATTTTATAAGCCCCTCCGGAACGGAGATTCGGATTCTCAGTTCATATTTATATCCAAAAGCAAAAGAAACAAATTTAATACAAATATAAATTTTCTAAATTCGAAAAAAAAAWTTTTTGTTCAGTTCAGGTTTTGTCGCAAGTAAGTAAAATTGAATATCAATCAATATAAAGCGATAGTAATAACGATARTGCATTTACCATCGGWAGCTATTAAAAATGTCAGACACGGATGTGGAAAACTATTTACCAGCTGCACTTAAAGCTGCTGCTGGTGGAAATATGCTGCAAAGCAATAATTGGCTTACGGGCGGCGCTGTTGTTC